TCCTTCCTTTTCGTCCTTTTCGTCACGCTCTTTCCTCCCTCTCGTCCCTCCCCTCCCCCCCCTACCCTCTCTTTCCCGCGTTTTATCTTGGCGCGGTGTCAATTCGAGTTTGGAACACGGGCAACGAGACAACGCGTGTCTACTAAAAACCAGTTTTTAAACTCGCGTTTATTTCGCGCCGAGAGACTGGCCTCGGGCCATCGTCCCTCCCTCTCTCTCTCTTCCCTCGCTCTCCTCTTCTCGCTTCTGCTTCGCCAGGGAACAGGGAAGGAGGAATAACATCGATCGATCGAACAGAATTTCCCCAGAAATCGATCGTTGCCCCACTTCCGGGAGAAAGTTTTCCACGATATGGGGAGGGGGGAAAAGTTAGAGGGGAAACGAGACTCACCAGGCAGGGTGGCGATGTAAGCGGATTGCTGGAATCGCGGAGCGTTGTCGTTCAGATCCGTGACGCGAACTATCAAGTCCGTGGTCGCCTCGTGGATACCGTCGCTCGCGACTACTTGCAGGCTGTACTCGGACCGCGTCTCTGCGTCCAAACGTCTCCGGAGGACGACCTTGCCCCCGTATCTGTCGATGCTGAACGGGCCTGGATCGGTCGCGTTCCCGAATCGATAGGTCAAGGCCGGGGAACTGTCCACGTCGTTGGCCGTGATGGTGGTTAACACGGTTCCAACCGCCGTACCTGTGGAAAAAATGTAACCTGTGCTTACACACGTGCTTCGACGAACACGATATTCGATTCGGCCGAAAACATTCGACCAAAAACGTCAGACACCGTTGTTCCCGGATGAACGGGCGCCACGGTTATATACGACTCTCCAAGTGGCCTGGAACCACTTTGTCACAGAACCGGACGATCATTCCCGACATATACGTATGCGTAATATGTATATGTATGCGAACCTCTTCCGCGAAGGTAAAGACAGTTGGAGGGAGTCGCGTTTAAAATGCATCGAATCCTCGCTTATCGCTTCCCTCTATCTCGCTAGCGTCAAGAAGAACGCTCGGACCGGACAAGATTCGTAGGTCTGAGGATCTCGTAGGCGATAATCTCGCGGCCAAATTACCACCACCACCACCACCGATCTCTATCCCCGCTCGAACAATAATAAAGTTTCGCGCGGTGGATCGAGACAAGAGAAAGAAGAAAGAAAAGAGAAAAGAGGGAAGAACGACCGGGTTGAATGGGACCAGGTTGCACGCGCGGCACCACCACCACCACCACCACCATCGTTCTTCGCTCGTAAATTTCACGGGCGGATCGTTAAAGTCGCGTAAATCGGCCTCGAGAGCCTCGATCCTGAATGAACGCGCGCTCCTCGGAAGCCGAAACAAAGATCTCTCTATCTTTGGGAAAACTCGCCAAATATAATAAATCCGATCTCCTCCCCCCCCCTCCCGAGTTATATCGCGGTAATTCTGATTACCGGAGGTCTCCTTCGTCCCCTAGCCAGTATTCGAGGATACTGGCTGCGTAAATACGCGATGTACGCGTACTCCTTGTACGGAAAACGCGCTCGTCGGTGGTCTACCATTGTTTCCATTTCTCGTGTCACCGCCGCTACCGATTCGATCCATCCTGTCGATTAAATCCACCTTTGGACGTCTGCCTTTTCGGGAACGAACCTCTTTCTCGTTTTAGGGGAGGGGGGGGGGAGGGGGGAGGAGGAAGGGTGCGCTAAAACTTCCAACGAACAAACGACTCTATCCAACAAAATTGGATTCCATGGATCGCGAATGGATAATTCTAATAGTTTTAATCATTTGCAAATCGTTCCTTTCGGTTCTACGACGATTTCTTACGACCGAGCGAATTAAAAGATTACAAGGAGAAAAAAGAACGGGACAAGAGAAACGAAGAAACGAATAAAAGAAACGAGAGGAGGAAGAGAAGAGAAAGAAGTAAACGCAAAGTTCGCGATGTATAAATTAAATGAAGCGCGTTTAAATCTCGTTGTCCTCAAACACGCGAGAGAGAGAGAGAGAGAGAAGCATCGGTGGATCGCAACAGCGCAACAGTTTAATCAATTACATTTTCATACAATTACATTTCAATCTTTTTCTCCATCTTTCGATCCTCTCGCCCGATTTTCTTTGAAACGTTTCTCGTTGAACGCTCGTCAAACACTCGCCGTTCCATTGAATCATATCTGTCAATGAACGTGGAACGATACGGAGAAACGGAGAAGGAAACAAACAGGAAGAGAGAGGGGCGCCGCCGAGTTATCCGAACGGACGTTCGCAGCCTCGCCTAAGTTATGCAGATTGTTCCGAACAGTTGGACTTTAATGCCGGCATAAATCCTTTCCCACTTAACTTTATACTTGGAGAGTAGTAGTAGTAGTAAGTAGTAGTAATAGTAGTAGTAGTAGTAGTAGTAGTAGTAGTAGTAGTAGTAGTAGTAGTAGTAGTAGTAGTAGTAGTAGTAGTAGTAGTAGTAGTAGTAGTAGTAGTGGTAGTAGTAGTAGTAGTAGTACGCGCTCCCACCTTGAAATACTCGCCCCCTTTCTTTTCTTCTTTTTTCCTTTTCTTTTCTTCTCTCTCTCTCTCTCTCTCTCTCTCCCCCCCCTCCCTCTCGCTCTCCGCGCGATCGTTTGGTTTCTCACGCGACGATCGAAAGTAGTCCCTAAATCTCGGGCGAATTAAGATTGGCGAATTTTACGCAAAATCGAATCGTAAACAGTTTCAACTTTGTGATAAATAAGAAAATTGAATCTTTCCCTCGCGGAGAAGATCTCGCTTATTCTCCAATTTATTAGACAATTAGGTTAGAAAACAAGGTCGTTATCGAGCGGGCAACCTGCTCGCGAACGAGTTAATTGCGAGCGACACAGCGCGCATCGAAATTAAAGAGGTGGTACGGTGTATTCGCGCGGTAATTTGTTCGCGCACGATCGCGAACGGACGAGGCTATAATAATCGTCGGTCAACCCCTCGTCCGACCACGAGGCCGCGTCGTAATTAATTCGAACGGGTCTCGTTTTTCTTTGAAAAACGAGAAGAGAAAGCGAGGAGATTCTTCGGCTCTCGTCGGCTATCTTCGCTTCGATTTCGTACGGGAAAAATGGCGCTTACCTTCCGAAACGGAGATGACGCTGTGCTCCGGAAACGTCGGTTGATTGTCGTTGATATCGATCACCCTGACGCTGAGCGCAGCCGTCCCGGTCAACTGCGGATTCCCTTGATCCGTCGCGATTATCGTCAGCCTGTACTTCTCGCGTATCTCCCGATCCAGCACGATGTTGGTTCGAACTATGCCGCTGTACGGCGGGCTTATGGTGAACGCGTTGTCCGGATTCCCGTCCACGATATGATACAGAACTCTACCGTTCATCCCTTGATCCGCGTCGCTCGCCGAGAGCTGCGCCAAATTTCGATTCGATTTCTTTCTTTTCCAACAGGACGAAAATTTCTTACTTTTTTTTTTTTCTTTTTCTTTTCTTTTCTCTTTACCTTTACGACGAAATCCCCTTTCACGTTCCCCTCCAAAACGGTGGCCGAGTACTGAGTCTGAGTGAAGACGGGCGGATTGTCGTTCGCGTCCGACACCCTGACCACCAGCTTCACGTACGCCTCCAAAGGGTCGGGGCCGCTGGTCCTCGCGGCCACGGTCAACACGTGCTTCGAGCTCTCCCTCGGTTTCTCCTTCGACCGTTGCCCCCCACCCTCCAACGACCTGGCCCACGAATTCGTCCTGCCCTCGTCCTCCGCCCCCTCCTCCGGGGCTGGCCTCACCCTCGCGTCGCTCCACGCCTCCGCGTCCAGCTTGGCCGGGTCGTTGACGCGTATCGACCCGGTCTCCTCGTCGATCGCGAACGCGGCCAACTCGTTGCCCGAGCCGAGGGAGTAGGTGACCCGCTGCCTTCTGCCGTCCGAGCGCACGGCCGTCACCCGGATCACCTCGGTGCCGGCCGCGCAATTCTCCCCCACAACCACCTCGTACGTCTCGTTCTGGAACTTCAAGACGGGCGCCAGGTCGGCCAGATCACCGACCCGCAACTCGATCAATCCCCGGGCGCTCCTCGGCGGGTTCCCCTTGTCCCTGGCCACCACCTCCAAGTGGTACGTCTTGCCGTTGTCCTGGGAGAGGGACAGGGCCGCGGTCACGGCCCCCGTGCTCGGGTGTATCCTGAACTTGGGCTTCTCCTGCTCGTGGAGGAACGAGTACACGATCTCCCCGTTCGCCCCCTCGTCGATGTCGGTCGCCACCACACGGAGAATGTTCTTCTCCGGCTGCGTGCCGATCGAGACGCGGGCGCGGAACGGGTACTCCTCGAACACGGGCGCGTTGTCGTTCACGTCGCTCACCCGAATCTCCACCGGGATCGTGCTGCTCCTCGCGTCGTACTTGCCGCCGTCCGTCGCCACCACCACGAAGTTGTACGCGCTCTGCCGTTCCCGATCCAAAGCCCTGCACACCCACACGAAGCAACCCGTCCGATCTTTTCAGCTTCTCCGAACAGAACGGATTCTTTTTCGGGGAGGGGGAAGGGAGGGAAGGAAGGGGAGCCGTTATGCGATGGAAAACGCATACGTCTTCGTGTCGTTCGTTTTCTCGCGCGATTCGTTCCCGCCGTTATTATTCATTTTCTCTTCTTGGCGACGTAATCCATCGGTCACAGATCGGAAAAAACGAACGAATCGCGCGCGTAATAACGTTACGTAACGGGCGTGGAATGACATAATCGCGAAATAATCGACGCGGTTATTTACGATCGGTTAACGATCGTAAGGCCACCAGCTTCCGATTCTACTTTCCTTTGCCTCTTGTTGGATGCACGACGGCCGATGCACGACGAGGTGTTGGCGTCGCGCGAGAAATCGAGTAATCGGAACGTTATCGACACCGAATCGCGCCCCGGTTATCGGGTTATCGATCTCTTCCGGGTGGTCCTGGTGGGAACGGCTCTAGCAACCACGACGCGACTCGGACTCGGAGGGAAAGGACGAGAGATCGGAAGGGAGAGAGAGGGGCGAAAGAGGGGGATCTGGTTTTTGCAATATCGCCGGCCGAAATAACGCGTCGAAACGGCCGCGGTTGAAATGACGCGCGGCTCTCCTCTCCTCGAGAAGATCTCCTCTCCGTCTCTTCTCGCGTCTCAATCTTCGTCCCTTCCGTTGGGCGGAATCGCGAATTTTTACAATTTAATTCGACCACGATCCGGGACGAAAGCCACGTTTTGGACGACGATGCGTGTAATCGGCAAGGATAGGAGAGAAGGACGGCCGCATCATCGTTCGCGTGCACGCTTTATTTGATTCTACACAACGTTCCTCTCAGACTCTACTCTATTTTTCCCCACCTTTATGTGCGCTACTCTTACGTTTCACGACCGACCGACCGTAATATCTCACCGGCGATATCCTCCGAATCGGACGAACGATCGACAATTAACGAGCGAAATTAGTTTAGTCGAGCTCGCGAACAACCGGGGGATAAGGAGGAGAGGGGGGGGAGGGGGTGGGGGGAAAAAAGGGGAGAAGAAACTTACCCAGCAGTGGTAACGACGCCCGTTAAATTGTCAACCCTGAACAACCAACTCGTCTCTTCGGCGATGGCATACGTGATCTTCCCGTTCACCCCTTGATCCGGATCGGTCGCCCTCACGGTCATCACGCTGGAATCCGGGGCCACGTCCTCGGACACGGTCGCCACGTACTTGGTGGGGCGGTGGCTGGTCGGATAATTGGAGGAGGATCCGTAGGGGAATCCGAAAGCGGGATACTCGGCCGTGGCCACCGCCGATCCACGAGCACGGGACTCGGAGTATTCGTTTTGTACGAACGTCGGGGCGTTGTCGTTCACGTCCAGCACGATCACCGTCAGGTTGCACCGTGCCTCCAAGCTGGGTCGGCCTTTGTCCTTGGCCGAGATCGTCAACACGTATTTCGACACCGACTCCCGGTCGAGATTCGACATCGAGAGCGCGCCGCTCGTCGGATCCAACGCGAACTTGGCGCCCACGTTGCCACCTGAAAGATATAATATACATACGGTTTCGAATATAAAATCCCTCCGTGGCCCTCCAATTCTTCGACGAGATGCTCGCTTACCCACGATGCTGTAATAAATTCCCCGTTCTTGCCCTCGTCGAGATCGGAGGCAGCGATCGTGTGAATCACCGCGGTCCCTTGGTTCTCGGGCACGGCGAGGGTGTAGCACGAGCCGGGTCGAAATTCGGGGCTGTTGTCGTTCTCGTCCATGACCACCACCTCGAGGGTGCCGATGTCCAACAGCTTGCTGGATCTGGCCAGGATCGGGACCGAGTAGCGGGAGGCCTCCTCCCGGTCCAGGGGGCCTCGAAGCGTGACCAGACCGCTCGGCAAAACGGTGAATTTATCCGAGGCTACGTTGCTCGGGATACCGAAGCTCACGTTTCCTGCGCACAAACGCACCCGGTTTAACGCCCCCGTTCCCGTTGTCGTTCTCGGGAAAAAGCGCGTTTTCGTTATTGGCGAGGAGAGACACTGGTGGGATAGTTAGGGCCGCTCTCTCCAACGCTCGGCTGATTTGCCTGTGCGTGCCGCGGCAACCTGGCGGCACGAACGATGATATACGCGGCCATTGTTTCGCCCCGTCGTCCCTTCTCATACGCCCTTCGTCCGCCGCCTCGTCCTTCGGAGATCGGAACGCGCTAATGCGCGCTCCCCCTCGATACACCGCCGCCGCTCTGGAGCAGACAAGCTCCAGATATTTTTCCACCACTACCGTCACCGTTCTCCACCAGACCCGGAGAGAGAAGAAAGGTGTCGGCGCGATCCGATCGAGGGGAATCCGATCGTTTACTACGACTTCTTTGCTAATTTAATGGAGCGGAAGAGATACGAATTTCGGATTCGAAGGAAATCAATTTCGTTAAATAGAAATCCTCTCTGGTCGGGGTTGACCGAGGCGTAGGTGCGAATCGAGCCAAACCCGTGGAGCGGAACCCGCGTGGAGGATATAGGATAGGGAGATAGGATAGGAGAACGTAATTTCACGTTGGGTTGGTAACGCGAGCGCTAAATTGACGGCCCCTTCTGTGTTCTCCGGTGCCACTTTATGCGGCGAGCCACCGTCCAAACAATAAGGACGCGGAACACCTAAAAAGGCCAGGCCCCATTTTTGGTCCTCTCGTACGTCGTCCTTGTCGTACGGAGGAAGGGAGACCGGTGTGCGCCGGTGGAGATCGATAAGTTGCGACCGAGCCCCTCGCTTTTGTCCCTCTCCTCGCATTATCCTCGCGAGCGAGCCGATTAACCGCCGATACAACCGCGCCTGCCTCTCTATCCTCCGATCATCTTTCCCGCTCCCGAATATATATATATACCCGTTCCGTATACGTACGCGGATAAATTTATTTGTATGATAAATATAAATAAATATAGCGCTCACCTTGATCGGCGATGATAGGGCCGGCCACGTTGAGAACCGGCGCTCCGACCTGCAGATCCTCCGAAATCCTGGCCACGGGGTTGGCGAGCAGAAGCCGGGGGGGTCCGTTGCTCTGTCCAGAAGCCAACGCGAGGATCAGCCTGAGGGTGGACTTGCGCGGCGGGGAACCGTGATCGTTGGCCGTGATCTCGAGCTCCGTCGTTCTCGCCATAGGCCTCTCCAAGCTCACTATCCCGGATTCGTAGCCCACCGAGAACCTCGCCTCCTCGTTCGCCGACGTGATCACGTACGACACCCGCCCGTTGTCGCCCGCGTCCTTGTCGACCGCGACCACTCTCACCAACGTCGCACCTGCAATTTTCGGACGGCGATAATGAGCGAGCGCGCGATAAGGGGAACGATCATCGACGCGACGCTAGATCGCTCACCTGGCAACAGGTCGGGCGTGACCGCGACTTTGGTCGATTCCGGGGCGACGAAAACCGGGTCGTTGTCGTTCTGATCCAGCACGATGATCCTCGCTGTGACGGTGGAGGCCAATCGCTCGCCGGGTGGGGCGCGATCCGACGCCCTCAGGATCAACGTGTACTCGGCCCTCTCCTCCCTGTCCAACGGTTTGGCCAACGTGAGGGCGCCGGTCAACGAGTCGACCGCGAAGCTGTCCCTCGAGGGGAACTCGGCAACCAGGCCGTAGCGTAGGTCCCCGTTCAAGCCGCTGTCCAAGTCGATCGCGGTCAAATTGTAGATGGTGGAGCCGATCGCCGCCCTCTCCGACACGCGCACCGTTATCGGGTCCTGGGGCCATCGGGGCGGATTGTCGTTCGCGTCCTCGATCGCGATCTTCACCGAGACAGCGATGCTCTGAGGATTGCCGATCGACGTCGTGTCCAACGCGCGGATCTCCAGGTGGTACTCGCTCACGTTCTCGCGGTCGAGCGAGTGGGCAACCACCAATTGGCCGGAGCTACGATCCACGTCGAACGCCGGAAACTCGCTGATCGGCGTGAGAGAGTCCAAGGTGAATGCCACGCGGCCGGCGGGACCTGCCCCCGACACCGAGCCCACCGCTTGTCCTATGCTCGCGTCCTCCCGCACCTACGATCCGATCCCCCTCTTCCTTAACTCAATTCCTTCCAACTCCGAGATTCTTTCTTTCCCTCGCGAGAAAGAAGTTTTCCCTTCGTAGTCCGCCCTCGTAGGCGAGGAGAAAAGAAGTTTTATCCACGGCGAGATCGTGGCCGAGATACTCACGTTAAAGGTAAGGCTGCTACTGGTGAAGGTCGGCCGGTTATCGGCCAGCGCTAAAACCTCCACTCTCAACGCGCGTATGCTGTGGCGGGGTGGTCGGCCCGCGTCCGTCGCCTTCACGGACACCCGGTACACGTTCCGTTCCTCGTGATCCAGCACCGCCTTCGTCCTGATCATCCCGGTGATCGGGTCCACGGTGAAAACGTTGTAACCGTCCGAGTCTCGATCTACCGAAACGAACGAACCGCGTTAAATCGAGATCGATCGTTTCGTTCTCGCGAGAGAGAGAGAGAGAGAGAGAGAGATACCTTTGAGAATGGTGTAGGTCACGGACGCGTTCTCGCCGAGATCGGTGTCCAAAGCCCTGACCCTCGCCACTTCCGTACCCGGTGGTTGCTCCTCCCTCACGCTGACCACGTCCCCCTGGGGATCCACGATTTCGGGCGAGTTGTCGTTCACGTCGAGCACCGTGATCTTGAGAGGCACCCTGGCCGCTCTCGACGGAGTTCCTTGATCCCTCGCCTCGAGAACGAGCTCGTGCACCCCCTTCGTTTCCCGATCCAACGGCTCTCTCGTGATGATCTCACCTGAAAATCAAGCCGGTCAATCAACGATCTACCGCGTTTATTTCCATCGAATCGTAATAAACCGTGCTCATCGTCAAGCTATTCCTGCACGGGAATTGGACAATTAATTGGACAATCGTTCGAGACAGTTCGAGAAGTAAGAGACGTCGAATTACTCCGCGTCGTCCTTTGTCCTTGTTTCGTCTCCGTCGTCTCGCGGATATCGTAATATCGTATCACGGATGCGATGTAATTGTAATGATTCGCGTATATCTCGCAGAAGAGAAGAAATAGGAGGAATAAAGAGAAAAGGAAGAGAAGAGGAAGAGTTGAAGTTAATCTCTTCTCTCGACCGCATTAATAGGTAATTAAGCAAGCGCCTAGTCGGAACTATTCCGAGAGACGAAAGGGGATCGGGATAATAATTCGTGTACGCACAGGGTCGAAGCAGAGAGAGAGAGAGGTGGAGAGAGGAGGGCCGCGTGCCTCTACGAATTCTCCGCGTAGCTAGTCCGTGGGGACGCGAGACGAGAGCGGTGCCCTCGTCGTTGGGAAGACAAACGATCGACGAGAACATGCAAACGCGCCGGCATCGAGGGATACCATCGCGGAACAATAAGAAGTATATCGTAGGACGCGTGCTAATGCGTTTCTCGTGTTAACCGTGGGACCAACTTCAACAGGGGATCGAGCCCTCTCCTCCTCTTTCCGTTCCCAACCGTCGTTTCTTCTAATATTTGGAAATCCTTGCTCGGTCCGCGGTGCCGTCCCGTGTCGATCGGGAAAACGATCGATCTTTCGCAAACCTTCTAAATTCGCGTCTCAACGCGCGTCCGTGTGTGCGTAGACAGACAGAGAGAGAGAGAGAGAGAGAGAGAGAGGAGGAGAGAGNG